ATCAAAGCGAGGAGAGCAAGATATAAAGGAACCAGTTGTATGTACCATCTTTCAAGTTAAGGGAGTAGGGTAGGAAATAAGAACCTACATTTCTAGTTGCCTATGTTTGCAATAAATTCTGGAAGGATATACAGTCAACTTAGAAAAAAGTTACTTATGAGGAAAGAAAGGAGCTGGGTATCTGAGGGACAGGACTAGAAGTTAAACTTTTCCCTGTGCACCTTTTCATGTGTTTTAATATTTGAACCATATGAATGTATTATTTAACCAAATATTTTAAAGCCTTTTGCAGGCTCTCTGTCCCCTAGCATAGAATTTCTCAGCCTTGGTACTATTTTCAATTGTTTTTTAATTTGAGAGAGAGAGAGACAGAGAGAGAGAATGAGCAGAAGAGGGGCAGAGGGGGAGAGAGAAAAAGAGAGAAAGAGAGAATCTCAAGCAGGCTCCACACTGAGTGGACGCGGGGCTCGATCCCACAACCCTGGAATCATGACCTGAGCCGAAATCAAAAGTCGGATGCTCAACCGACTGAGCCACCCAGGCGCCCCTCAACCTCAGCACTATTGATGTTTGGGGAGATCATTCTCTGCTGTGTCGGATACTGAGCAGCATCCCTGATACCCACCCACTACATTTCAGTAGCATCTCCCAGATATGATGGGCCAAAAACGTGTCCAGACATTGCCAAATGCCCCAGGGGCGCAAAATCACCCCAGCTGAGAAATACTACCCCAACCCAAATTCCTGCTTGCCATTATGCTACCCACCCTCCTGCTACCCCCCGTCCTTCCTAAACAGACAGTTTATCAGGCGTTTTCAGGTGTCACAGACCGTGCTAAGCAGTGCTGAAATAGTACAACCGTCCTCCCAAATAAAGGTGCCATTTGTACCCATGTTTCACAGATGGGGAAACTGAGGCTCAGAGAGGTGAAGCCAGGAAGTGGTGCGTCAGAATTTGAACTCTGGCCCCTCAGAGCCACCTCCCTCGAGCTGAGGCCCTGTTCTAACTCTCCTGCCCTCTCCACTGCCTTGCCAGTGACCGGGGCATTCACAGGCTGGGGACCTTGACATCATCCAGGGCCCAGCGCCTGTCCCTGCCAGATCTAATCAGCTCCCACGCCCTGGCGGGTCTTTCCCACAATGACTGTCACATTCATCCCTCCCTCCCCAGTCCCTTGGCCTTACACTTTCATCTCTGCCACCCAGACTCCCAGAGGAAGGAGCTGAGTTAGGCTGTCTGCGGCTCAGTGTGCCGTCTGTGAGGATATCAGATCTCAGAGGGACCATCCAGCCTCAGATCTCAGGTCTCAGAGGGACCATCCAGCTTAGAGACTCCCCCTGGTCCGACCTCAGTCATGAACCACTCCCACCAGACTCTGTGGGCACCCACAAGCTCTCACCTCAGGGCCTTTGCACTGGCCACACCCCCTGCCAGGAGCACTGTGTCCCTGAATTCACAAGGCTCATTCCCTCACTTTCCCCAGGGCTCTGCTCAAATGTCACCTTACCAGCGAGGCTTCCGGGACCCCCTGTTCAAAAGCGTGACCCGCACACTCCCGTGCTTCCTCCGCTGCTTTGTTTTGTCCCTCCCCTCCCCACAAGTTAGACATTGTCCGTCTCGCCCACTGCAATTCGGGCTCCTCAGCGACGGGGCTCTGTGTGTGTGTCCTTCCCACCGTCTCAGCACCAAGAAGAGGCCTGACATACATCGTAACTGGTGATGAGTGAATGCCCTCTTCCAGCCCTCTTCCCTGGAAACAACCGAGAAAAAGCAGAGTAACTGTGAAGAGGAAAAGAGAGAAATGGAGAAGTATCCAAATTCCAGCCAGCTGCTCAGCCCAGGGGCATCCCCACCCCTCCCCACTTCTCCCTCTGCCCTTCGCCCTTCTGTATCCCAAATGCCACTGCCACATCCCACAGGCAGTCCACATCCCCAGCTTATATCAGTTGACAGACGGGGCCCTGCTCTATTCATGTGGCACCTCACCTCCCTCCACCTTACTGGAGCCACCTTTCAGCTTCCTGCACACATCCCTGCTAGGAACAGCACACGGGGTTGAGCTTCGAGGGGAGACGAGACGAGGAGGGGCAGGAAGGCACAGAGCTCCAGATGGGGAGGATTGGGGGACCCCCTTGTGCAGCCTGGGGCCTGACACAGCTGGGCACAGGAAGCCAGAGCAACGAGAGAACTCCTACTCATGCTGCAAAACAGCACACAAATGTCCCCTCTTGTATAAAGCCTGACATCACCAGGCAATGTCTTGCCTTTGCCTCAAGGGCCCCCAGCCCAGAGGTTTCTCCCTCTGTCCCAGTCCTGACAACACAGGGCTAGGGGTGTCTGTGTCTCCCAGCCTGGGAGCACCCGGAAGGCCACGCCTGGGTCCTCCGCACGGCCCGGCACGAAGACAGAAGCTGTATCCCTGCAGCCCCCCACAGCCTCCCTCCTAGACAGTAACTCCACGTCCCCGTGCCCTTCCTTTGGGGAACCAGCTGTAGGCTAGATGCAGGCAGGGTGGAAGTTCATGCTCAAGTCTACCCACTTCCTGATCAGCTGTTGTTAGAGCCTCACTGGGGACCCTGACTGCCTGCCAGCCTGGGGCCAGACGGGACGACGTTTGGCTGGAAGCTGGGAGGTAAGCAAATGTAGGCAAATCTGGGATGGCCTGTGGCCAGAGGGGCTGGGCCTCAGGAGTTCCCTCACCCTTACAGGAAGCCCTG